TCTTGTCAGGACGGTGCTCGACGGGAAGTCAACCTCATCCCAAATGCCCAGATTGAAGACGAGCTGTTCAACACTCTCGCCGACAAAAAGGTAGACGTTGTTGCCTGGCCGCTCTTGGTCAGTGAGCAAGAAGTTGGTGACCACAATCACAGGGTGTAGCATGGCGTAGCCATGCGTAGCCTGGAAGATGTGAAGCACAGAATGCCCCGCAGCTCAGGTTATGCAGAATGCGAATGCGGGCGGTTCGCCGTTCGATTTCTTGGCACGCTTTGCAGGCCCGATCGCCTGGCTCATTGCAGGCTTGCTGCTTCTGTTCGGTGGCTTGCCATTTGGAGGCAGGAGTGACTAGTCTTCGTTCGGCCATCACGTTTGCTTTTGGTCTGGTTTCCCCCCCGATCTGCCTGTGACGCTGACTGGCCTGTACAGGTCCTGCTGGTCCTGGAGGCCCTGGAGGCAACCCTTTCGAGCTTGGCAAATCCAAGGCTCGCATCATCAAGGAGCGGCCATGCTCAAGTTGCAGTCGTTACTTCTTCATTCATGGCACTTTGGGCATGTGACTGTCTTTCCCACCGTCCACACGGAGGACGGAGACACGAAAGTCAAGTTCGCTGATGTAGCAGGCACAGCTTCCCTTCTCAACCATGCGTTTTGATGTCGTCCGCGCACAAGCACTTGTGCGATCTGGTGAAGGCTGCGACGGCGCCAAGCAGGAGTTGGTTGAGGTCGTTGATTTCTTGAAGAACACCTCGAGGCTGTTGGTGTGGGCTGATCTACGATGTAGTGTGCCGCGATGCACAGTCTTGAGATGTCTTGAGTGAGCGAGGTACTCAGACCTGGGTGCCAAGATTCCAAAAGGTGCTTTGTTGGTGGGCCCTCCCGGTACTGGAAAGACCCTGCTCGCCAAAGCTGTCGCGGGAGAGGCTAGAAGCTTACAGCAGCTTGTAGTCCCTCTTAACCCGGCACTCACGGGTGGCCTCAACTAAGGCTGGCGTGCCATTCTTCAGCATTTCGGCCTCTGAGTTTGTGGAGATTTTCGCGGGAATTGGTGCATCTCGTGTGCGTGATCTCTTCGAGCAGGCAAGCAGCCATTTCAGAGATGCTGCTTCGTTCCAGCAGCTCACGAAACCGTTTGGAGGCCAAGAAGTCGGCCCCGTGCATCATCTTCATCGACGAGATCGATGCAGTGGGCCGCCAGCGCAGTGCTGGCTTTGGTCAAGGCCGTCATTCAGCGCGTTAGCATCACACTGCATTCAGTTGGCGTTGCTACATGGAGCTGCAAAAGGTAACGATGAGCGTGAGCAGACGGTGAATCAGCTGCTGACAGAAATGGACGGCTCCTTGGCATTGACAGTGGGTTCTCCCTTGGTAGTTGTGTACTGGCTTTCGACAACCAATCTTTTGCACAATTACGCAGTATCACGCTTTTTGGGTCGCCTGGAGGCTTCGAGAGCAACAAGGGGGTCGTTGTGATTGCGGCCACCAACCGAGCTGACATCCTGGATCAAGCCTTGGTTCGACCGGGCCGCTTCGATCGTCAGATTCAGGCCCGCCAGTTTTGTTGTACAGGTTCTTTGACCGCCGCCTTTCAAACCTATCAGGTGGATCCCCCCGATGTGCAAGGCCGCACTGAGATTCTCAAAGTTCATGCCAAGGCTTGAGCACTTGAATTATGAAGAGCCAGCACATTTGAAGCTTCTGCTGTCGATTACCTCCATTGTGGCGAGGACAAGAACTTGGCCCCCGGCGTCGACCTCTCCGCAATCGCAAGACAGACGCCGGGCATGTCAGGTGCTGACTTGGCCAACCTGCTGAATGAAGGCACACCTCTGGCAGTCATCGCACCGCTTCTACACTCATGTACTGCCAGAGTACTGCCAGTGTCCGGCATGATGCTTCCACGTCCTTCCCACTTTGATGCTGCACGCCGCAGTCGTAATCAAAAGCAGAACCGGGCCTCGCAGGTGCCATCCAGGCAGCCAGATCGAACAAAGCGGAATCTTGGCAGCATTTCTTGCCAACATCTTGGCTGTATGAAAAAAATGTGGTAGGGTGTGGAACGGGCTAACTGTTGATGAGGAGATCGAT